AATTTACCTGAAGAAACCCTTCTTGTTACTCTTAACATTTCTTGCGAAGTGCAACTTCAAGTGTGATTTGGCCTTCCTGATTTCACTCCTGCATGCCTGAGCAATATTTTTATACTCCTGGGAGTAATGTGCTCAACAGTTGCCCTTATGCACCTTTGTAAAAAGGTGTAGCACGAACTATCCCCCTGCAGTCCTTCAGGCACAGGGAGGAGGGCCATGTTCACACTCCCATCTCACGCCTACAGATACCAATGTTATGAACCATATTCTCCTCTGAAGGAGTGTGAGCAGTAGAGGCAAACCTAGCATAACCTGTCAGGAATAGCTGTAAGAACGTCCCTACTGTGCCAACACCCCAGGTCAGGAGAAGGCTTGTCATTCTGCACCCCTCTCTTCCCCAGATAATGTAGATCTCAGAGAAGGGGGTTAGGAGAAATCACCAATAGCGAATAAGACTCCTGAAGCAGCCAGGCCTCCATGGAGAATAATGGGGAGTGGTGGTGAGGAAGCGGCGCGGGCCAAGGGACGTGCTGGCTGCCCTTCCTGCAGCCCCCATTGGCCTGGAGTGGCGAACCGCGGCCAGTGGGAGCTGCGATTGGCCGAGCCTGTGGACGCGGCAGGTAAACAAACCGGCCCGGCCCGCCAGGGGCTTTCCCTGAACAAGCAGTGGCTCTAGTTTGAGAACCACTGGTTTAAGCTATTTCTTTGTATAATTTCATCATAATGTAAGCTCCAGGATTATTCTGCCTTGTACTATTCATCGTGTGCTGTATCTCTTTAAATAATAATAAAATAGGTTAAAAATTCAAAACAGATTAAGATTTTTTTCTAAACTGCACCCTGCTTCTAGGGCACATCTCTCTTGATGATGGCAAAACTGGCATCAAAGGGATAGTTTGTAATCCTTCACGTTATCTTCAAAGGAAAAAGAAGAATGCATTCCACTTTCTATAGCCTTCATAACATACATTGGCTGAGTCCTTGGTGTATTTACTGTGGAGTATGTCAGGGCACATACAGCCACTCAAATTGATGAAATGGAATATAGTTGTCAGCACATTTATTATAGGACTTCATATCAATGCTGTAACTGAGGCAAGTTATCCTCTTGATAAATAGGATGTTAGGGAGATGACTCTAATACAATTAAGATGCCCCCAACACGTAATCTTAGTATTCAGTAAGGGTACAGTATATTTGCTCTTATTTTAAAAAGTGCCAAATTCAGTGTAGATTTCAATTTCTTCTTATTTTACGTCTGTTTTCACAGCCAACTTGGAGTAAAACTCTGGACTGAAGGTCTAAGAAATATAAGATGTAAGAGACACATGACCCTTTGGTATTCTAACCATGAGATATTAATGAAGAACAGTGTCATAGAAGGCTCCAATCTTGTTGACAGCTCTGTCAATGAACCTGCTTTGCCACTTTGCTACCTTTCAGAGGTTTCTGGGTAGCTTTTTGCCAAAAGCCATTATGAAAACGTGTGACTGCCCTGTTACTGAACTGCAAATTTAGTGCTGTGTCTTTCAATAAAACTTTCACTGTGAATTCCTGATTCCATTGAGGTCGGTAGAAATTTTGACCTTGACTTCAACAAAGCCAGGATTTCTCCCTTAGAGTATACTGACAAAAAAAAGTGTCTGTTCCATGGCATTTGACCCAACAAAGTGATTTAAAGGCGCCAATGCAAGTTTTACCTTTTCCTGTATTCTTGTGACTCTTCTTCGGCTGAAGTGTGTAACCTCCTGGCACAGAGCCTACATGTAGTTCTTTCTGTACTGGCAGAGGACTTAAAGGAAGCTGCCTGTCTAGAAGCGACCCTTCCAACACAAAAAGAAAATCACTGTAAAATGGCTATACGGATAAGGCACGGAATTACAAAGTTCAAAGAAATTACATTCAAGCAGCTGAATGGAACAACTGGTACCTGTGCGGTGTTTTGTGAGGAACATTTTAAGCTACACATGGCACCTCACACACTGAAGCTGGGTTACATTCACTACCATGCAGCCTTAGTGTCTAATGCCCAGTAGTGTTATCATCTCAATGGAGCCTGTCAGCCCTTTCATTTAATTTAATTCAGTGTCTTTATTCACTATGCCCGTGCCAATCTTTGACCATATTGCACAATTTTATAAAAACAATTTCAGTAAAATATCAAGGCCACTAACCCCACCTATGGAACATCCAATAGAGAGCATAGGCCTCCTACAGTATCTTCCCACTTCTAAACAACAACTCCCAACCCCGTTTTTCTAACCCATCACGTTGGTCTTGTGGCATGTTCTGAAGGCCACCAAATGGGTCTCTGATTAACCAGGGAATTAAATGTATTCCAGGAGCATGTACACCTCACAGTGAACACTCTTCCAGTAGCCCCCTTCCATTTATAGCAGGTGGGGCCAATCAACTCAAGCATCTGAGATGATCTGAAGTACTGCAGTAACACCCTGGGAGAAAGGTGATCTCAGATAGCCCTAGCAACAGAACTTGAGACATATGGTTCCTTGAACACGTGGGCGAAGGAAAGGCATTTTGAACATGGGAGAATTGCAACTTGGTATAAAAGAGAAAATAAGAATCCCAATGACCACAACCTGGAATAGCCAAAATGCAAGAGGCCCCACTTCAAGGCAGTGAACATCTTCAAGGAACAGATTTGGGAGGAAGAATTTAAATAAATAAAATAAAATAAAAATCAACTCCCATGCTTAGATATAGGCTATAGCAATGATTATCCCTAAAATCAGAGAGAGTTTTTATGAGTCATTACTTTGCTTTCAGGGAGGAGTTTCCAACCTGAACTGCTAACAGGGAACCATGAACACTCCATATTGCTAAATAGAAAGGAGGTCCCAGCTAGATAGTAGGGAGATCATGGGACAGAGGATTCACAGTATGGAAAAGATTGAGAACCATTGCTCTCCATACATCTGAAATTCAGAACAAAGTCACTTTTTTTTCTTTTACAAAATTCTACATTTTGAAATGGATTCCTCTGCAATAGAAGCTCCTCTACACTAATGGGAAATGTAAGATACTTACTTTCTGGCTGCATATTCTTGGAGCAAGTATCTTGTCTGAATGTTGCGGTAGGACTGATCAAAGTGTTTATGCCTTCTCTGGTAAAATGGCACTCTCTTCGATGACATGCTGCAATTTCTTCCAGGCCCCAACTCCTACAAAATAAGTAGTGACAGTCATATTTAGCCAAGGCTTTCAACCCATTATGATGCTTTCCTGAGAACCTTACAATTCTGTTATTTGCTGAAGCATTTGTGACTTTACTATGGCTTGAGCAATTCCATTTTATGAATGACAAAGTCATACCTGATTAATATAGCCACCTCAGGCTGCAATCTCACTAACTAAAGGCATGTCTACACTACCAGGCGGATCTATGGGCAGCGATCAATCCAGCGAGGGTCAATTTATCGTGTCTCATATAGACGCGATAAATTGACTGCCAGTCGCTTTAGCGTCGACTCCAGTGCTCCACCTCAATGAGAAGTGCAAGGGGAATCCTGTTGACACACCACAGTGAAGACACTGCAATAAGTAGATCTAAGTATGTTATTCACGTAGCTGAAGTTGTGTAACTTAGATCGATCCCCCATCTCCGCCCCCCATAGTGTAGACCAGCCCTAAGTCTGGCTGGATATGATCAGTACTTGGATGGGAGACCTCATATGACATACTTCCCACTGACTCAATATTAAAGTAATTCCCAAGCATGGAGTCAGAAAAAGCTATTGTGCTGCCAGAGATACTATCCATTTGTGTTCACTAAAAATCCAATGACCCCTACTTTTGCAGAAGTAGGGATGTTACCACCAGTGTCCTGGATAAATTACAGATAGTATAATTATAGTCTGTCTCCCTAAATTCCTCTTGCAGTTTCAGTTGGATAGGGATTCTTCACTTCCTGTTCTCCTGCCCTAAATGGTCATACAGGATTGCTGCAAGCAGCTGAACGGCTGCCACATTCTACACTAGAGGTGGTTGCATTTCAGTGGTGAGTGGAGCAATTCCTATATATAAAGTTTGCAAAGCACTTTGGGCCAAATCCTGAGGTCCTTAGTCAGGCAAATTCCCAGTGAGGTCAATGAGTATTTGGCTTAGTAAGGACTAGATCCCTGGAGTGAAGAGGGAACGTGCCAGCCATTACATCCCTTTGTGGGGTGCAGCCTGCTCCCCCACAGCATGCTAGTCCACCTCCTTCCTCATCTTCACTGTGCCCACATCAGGACCAGCAGATTCTGTTCCCAGGTATGGTCCTCAGGTTTCCACCCATCATTATCAATTATTTTCCCCAATTTCAAGAAGATCTAACAAGTAGCCATTATTACTGCATATGGAGAATACAAAACTTAAAGGAGGTCGAATAGAAATAGATTTATCTTGTAAACTCCTTCAGATACTTGCATCAAAATAACTTCTTATTTAAATCAAAGACAGTGGTAGTGACATTTTAATCCAGGTTCTGTTTCACATTGTAGATCAAAAATGTATCAACTATCAGGCTATATTTTAGAACTGAAATGAATAATACATCTATTCAACTTAACTGGATATTATATTTCAAGAAAAATACAGGAGTCTTATAACTAGAGCAAGCCAAAAATAAAATGAAAATCACAATTAAAAACAAAAACTAATTTTAGTTTCTTTTATTTATTTATTTATTTATTTTACACAAAATGCATTAATATAAATATTTATTGAAAACATTTGTTTCTCTTTTTCCATTTTAAACAATGATTTTGATTTTGCCAGTTTGATTTCACTGGTAAGATTGAAATAATTAAAAATAAATTTGTAAAAATTCATGTGCAAAAATGTCTTAGTTTGAAAATGGAAAATAAATGGTAAACAAAAAGTTTGATAACATTTTTACAAAAATTTGACACTTATGAAAATTTTCAAGCAGCCCTAATAATACCTTGTTTAACTGTATTTATGTATTTATTGAAGAAAGCATTATAACTGCTTAATTGCAGCAACCAAGTCTTGGAAAAATAGAATTAGAATTCTCAGGTAGCATATGAGCTTTTCAGGAAGCAAAGGATAAAGCAGTCCATCCTGCAGTTCTTACTCTAGTAAGTCTCGGATTGATGTCTCTAGCTCTTTTTACAATTAGTTTCTACACAGACATGTAGGTGCAAACAAACAAACTCCTGGATCCTCTCACTTCCACTATTGACACAGCTGTGTTAAGGTCTACCTGTGTTTGCTTTCAGGCTACATTTGTCCAGTTAAGCTCTTTTGTGAATATCCCCACATGCTCTCTGTCATGCACCCAATCCTGCATCCTTTCTGTCAGGACCAGGCAGTGGGGAGCCTGTGTGCACCAGTCAGTTATCAGGATGTGGCCAGGAGACAAGTAGCAGGGTCAGGGTGAAGCCTGGTCAGGATACCAGGAAGTTAGGTCAAGCACCAAGTTGCAGGTGGGAGGCAAGTGGCAGAGTTTGGGTTGAGCTAGGTCAGGATACCAGGGAGTCAGTGCCAGGCATAAGGTTACAAACAGCAGGAAAGTCACAGAATTGGGGACAAATCAGGGTCAGAAGCAAGGCAAGGTTTGGAGCAGAAGTAAGCAGCCAGTCTGCATCATTTCTCAGACAGCTGCCCATGATGGCGTCCTGGTTTATATACCAGCATGAGCCAATCAGTGGTCTGCAGAGGGCTGCCACTTGCACCCTGCTGGACAGTACTTCCTGCAGGCTCTAGATTCACAGGATCCTCCAGCAAAACATAGCCTAAGCTTCCAACGGTGATGCAGAAGCATTGGTGGCCCAGAACCCACATGGTCCCAGGTTCTTACACTTTCTATGCATGTAACTCTTACTGAGACCAAATGTAGGTCAGCAGAATCAGATTCTTGTGGCTGGTGGATCAGCTTTTGCTACTTTTAAGTTCATAATTCTCTTCTAAAAATAAAACTAACTTTTCAGAGAAGTGCGTCTCTTTCCCTCTATTCCAAATGAATCAGTTCCTAGACTTCCTCACAATTAGGGTTCAGACATTCTAAAGTGTTTGTCCAAACTTTATGTAGACTATAAACACAAATGGCCAACCAGCTCTAATGCAGAACCTCACTAGAAGTAATTAAGAGGACTTGGGAGCAGCAAGACTTATTTAGCCTTCTGTTAGCACGGAGGGAAGCTGTTGCCTGGCACCAGTTCAAAATGTAATGTCATTAGATACAATACTTGTGGAGTATATGTTTAATACTCAGTACTGCTGCAAAGTCAGTCCTTTTAGATGGATTTCTGGGGGGGAATTAATGGGGCCAGGATTTCACCCTTTAAATCAATAGCAAAATTTCCATTGCCTTCAATAGGGTCAGGATTCACCCCACATATTTTGGGGTGGATATGAGATGGGGGATGCTGTGTTCTCTGTGGGAAGTCTTTTGTTGGGTCTGCTCCTGTTTATCTATTGTGATACATTGTATTTATGATATTTTATTTTTCTGAGATGGATGGATTTTGCCAGGTTGCCTGGGACAAAGCTAGATAACACAATATGCAGGTAAGAATCTGGCCTCACTGAAGTCAATGGGAGTTTTGCCATTGATTTCAGTGATTCAGAAGGTCACCCATGGCACTTAAGATCTATGCCTACAATCCTTTGGCTGGAGGGCTGCTGACAGGGAAGTACAAGTATGATGATAAAGACACGGGCCAACCGACTGGCAGGTTTTTTGGAAATGATTGGTCCCAGGCCTACAGGGACAGATCCTGGAAGGAGCACCATTTCCAAGCCATTGCCTTGGTAGAGAAAGCATTAGGGGAGGCTTATGGCTCTAACCCCCCCAACTGCTTTACGCTGGATGTACAACCACTCCAAACTTCAGGGTGCCCTTGGAGATGCAGTGATCATTGGGATGTCCAACATGGATCAGCTGCAGCAGAACCTCATGTGCAGTGAAGAGGGCCCTCTGCTCCCAGCTGTGGTGGAAGCATTTGATAAAGCCTGGCACCTAGTGGCACATGACTGTCCCAACTACTTCCGCTAGAAAATGGGGGTAACAAATTTAGTGTGGGGATGGTAACCAAGTATCCTGGCATCTGAGACCTCCTAACTCCTTCTAAAGCGTTTCAGAGGAAACTTCACCCTTGGATCACGGGTTCCAGGTAGTGAACGTATAGGTGCCACATTGGGGTTTCCTTGCACTAGAGTTGAAGCTCTTCGTACAATCATAAGCCTCACTGTTTCTATGCTGACTTAATGGTAGCTGCACATGGTGTCCAAGCCATAAGGTGTCGGGTTTTTCCTTAAACAAAACTAAAAGCCATAATTGTTGAGAATGTCCCTTAATAGGGCAGCTCCTATTTTCATCTGATCACACAAAATAGTGTTGTGATTCAGTGATGTAATTTGTGAAGTCTCCAAGCAGGAATGTGAATATTTGTCTTCAATCAGCTAGTAGCAGACTGGAGACCAGGCTCCACTAGCACTCCCATCAGTGCAGCTGAACCAGTGTTAGTAACAGAGGGAATTGTTTACACAAAATCCTAGTGTTGCCACCCCAAAAGTTATGGTCAAATTAAAGATTGTCAATTCAATTAAACATTCACAGATAGCAAAGCCTACAGTTGTTTTGCATAGTCCTTGGTCCTAGTCAGGATAAACTCCCATTAAAGTCATGATAGTCAGGGAGTATTGAAGAGCCAAAATTTCAGAATTTGGCATCAAATGCCATATCCTACTTGTGATATTTAACTCCCGCTTATGTTAAGGAGAGTTCCTCCCATAGAGCCAACATACAATATGGCCAAACACTGCCCTTGAACTCCACTATACAACTCCCATTAACTTCACGAGGAATTCTACATGGAGATCTAGAGTTCTAGGGTAGTATCTGGGCTACATTCTGCCCTCTTTCTTCATATGGAACTCCCATTGGTATAACAGGGCAAAAGGTTATTGTTAATTATATATATTGTGACAAGATGGCTGATGTTAGTGTGGTGGGTCCTGGCCTTTTCTTGGCAGGGGGGCTAAGATGCCACCTATTACCCCTGCTCTTGGGTCACCAAGGACCCCCCTAGTGGCCTTGGAAGGTGGTAGAGGAGGGAAGGGGTCTGGGTTTGCTCCTCACTCTGAGCCCCAGCCCCTCTCAACCCCAGCAGGTTCTTACCCCTTGGGTAGGGTACCTTTAATCCTTAGACACAGAGGGAGGGAGTCTCCCTCCCCTGCCAGGGCAGGGTCTCCCTTACTTCAGTTCTCTGGTCTTCAAATTTCATGACACAGTCATAACTCCAGTCCTCCTTCTCCCTGATTGCCTGAAGCAGGGGGTTTTATTAGGTTCCTGAAAGGGCCTTAATTGACTGCAGGTGCTCCAATTAACCTGTAGCCATCCTCCCTAGCCTACAGGGAACCACACCTTAATTAGCCAAGGGCTTATATATTTCCCCTCTACCATTCTCCCACTGCTCCCTGGCCTTCCTGTATCAATATATATACATTTCTGTTACAGTAGCTCCCATGAACCCCAATCAAGTTCAAGACTCCATTGTGCTAGTCACTACACAAACACAAAGACATGGTCCATTCCCAGAAGATTAGAGACTAGAAATAAAATATAAAACAGTTTAATTCATACTTCTATTTAGCAGAGTAATTAGATTATTCAAGTCAGTTGGAGAGGGTTGCATGTGAATATTTACTTGTGTTATCTATACTATATGGTAGTCAGCCACAAGTAGATTGAAGGCAGAGTTCAGGGGTCAGGCTATACACAGACTCATAACACAATAATAACTTTTGGAGTACAAAAGCAGCTTATCAAGAACTGTGGGACAGGCAGATACCTTCAAAAAGTGAGTGCATTCGTGGCAAAGGAGGTGGGGTTAGATGTAAAGCTAGCTAGTCAGATAAATAATTTCATTTAAGATTTAAAGGACCAGTAGTAACTCTAATAAGTTCATAAACACAGCCCCTGGGCACTGGCACTCCCGCAATAAACTGGTCAGTAGGAGTATCGACTGCTGTGAGATGGAGAATCTGATTGTGCTCCCCATAGACAACTTGAGTTCCCATGGCCAAGGAGGAAAGGTAGAATCCACCACCTTTACAATCCATTTCATCTATCTTAACTTCCCTGCTGCTTGCAGATTTGCTTCTCTTCCCCATTGCCAAGTCTGCACCACACAGTATGTACTTTCTCTGCTCGTCTCTGCCCTTGTCTGGCTGCAAAAGAATGATTGACAAGCTCTTGCCTGCTCTGACTGAGCCCTACCTGGGTATGCTAGGTGAAAGATCAGGATAGCCTGCTCCTTTGCTTCGGCACATATCCTTATTCTTACTTTTCTATAGGAATCTCATGGCTTCCACATATTTTGCAGCACGTGCCTCTACTCATATTTTTCCATACACTAGCTGCTGTCCAATGGCTGAAGTGATTACACCCGCCTAATAGTTACACTGTTTTATTTTATCACTTAGTGAAGAGTAGAATATGCTCCGTTTTGGGTCCCCTATTTTTCCACTTTGCACCCCATTATGTGTATCTGTTATAGCACTAGAATATCTTTAATTCCCAGGTGCCTATTCAATATTGTAAAAGATGGAAGAAAAGAAACTTCCACTCATCACTTAATTCAAATGTCCCAATTCCAGAAATACCCTAAGACCTCAGACAGAACACATCAAGTAATTTCCATATGGCTACATTGATCTCTTAGAAATAAAGACACATTCTCTCATAGCTTAATATGTAGGACTCACATGGATGCCAATGGAAGTCTTGTGTAAAGATCAAGGGTCATCTGTGGCTCTTAAATATCGCAGTCAGGAGATAATTAATCAGGATGGAATTGAATTTATGGGATCTCGTGTTACTTTCCCTTTTTTATTTGTGAAACTGCTTAAATGCTGATGTTTCTGTGTAAATACGAGTGTATTCAAGAGCCAAATACAATTATAGTTCTCAAACTGACATAATCTTTAGGACTAGATTATGCAAATTGCACATAGTCCCCAATAAGGAGCAATATGGAGGCAGTTTGGCTCAGACAGGCAAGATCCTCCTGGACCTTCCTAGTGTCCGGGGAGGCTTTGCACACTGCTTCACCCCTTCGTTGGTGCATATGCTCCCCTGTGCAGCCATCCAGCTCTGCTTGCCAGCACAGAGGTAGGAGACGGAGCCATGGCCCTGCCTCCTGGACACCCCTCCTCACCCTCTTAGGGGCACCATGAACCTTCAGGGGAGTAGGGAGGGAACAGTTCTTGCATTTCCAGGAGTGTAAGAACTGAAATTCTGCCTGGCCCTTCTGTGGGCTATATAGGGGTGAAGGCTCCTTTTTTAACTCTTCCCACAGTGCCCCTATGTAAGGTCCAGGCAGAATCTGGCCCAGACAGAGTACATACACTGATTAACTTTTCTCCAGAAGATTTTAAATGTTCAAAGCAAGATTTTATAAACATTTTGTTCTGACTTTTAGAAAGAGTCCAAAGTCACTAAAGCTGCTGACACAAGAACTGCATTTGGCCCACTAAATATAATCCGCACGGCCTGAAATGTACTCATCCTAATTTTCACATACAAAAGTAGTTTGCAACAGACTCTCTGTAAAGTATGGAGATTCCCAGTCACATTGTAAATGCACCCTGTCCTTTTAACTGGAGGACAACAAATGTGAAACAGTGAGATAGTGAAAGTGAGTCGCTGCCAAGCATTCCCACATCTATTATCCTTCATTACAACACTTTCATTGGCTCTTATGTGTAATCATCCAATTCCACTATCTCTTTCTAGCAGGCATAATTTCAAGAGCATGAGTGCAATTCCAAAAGCTCTATCAGAGGTATTTAGCTGGAATTTTCAGGAGGCTCAAAACATGTCATGGAACTCAAAGCAATAACAATCAGAAATCTATCTTTTAAAGAAAGGTACTTGAAACTATCACTGACAAAAATAGAATAGGACTTTTGGTCCCAGTTACATTATGTTTATATTCTAGATTTAATGATTTTTTTCTTCTTTTTTTAAGTAAATACAGAAGAAAGAGGAACTCTGTATTTGGAATAAGGAAAGCATATAAACCCACCTGCCTTGAGTTTGTATTTATGTAGAAAGATAGTGATTAAAATATAATAATATTCATTAAAATAAAATTAATGAACAGAATAAAACCATGCAATATTTTCCCCTCCTGTTGTCATTTTTCTTTTATTCGTAAATGTATATTATGCCTTTTTCTTATTTCCCCCAATACGTGTCATATATTTTGTACAGAAAAGTATATAACATTTTTCTATCATCATTCCTGTTGATTCTGAATTTTTTTAAAAAATGGAAACATACTTACCTAGGGAGAAATAAAAATTGCACAGCTGAGAGGACGAACAGCCTCACTCAGCTTAGCAGGCTCTGGCTGAGGAAAACAAAAATAATTTCTGTCTCTAAAGAGAGGCTACTACCCCTTCGCGCCCATTTATGGGCAGATGTGTTGCTATATATAGAATCAACTGATTGGTTCTCCCAAGAGTGAGGTCAGTCTAATAGGCGTGAAAGTGTAATTTAAAGGGAAAAAATCTGCCATGTTATTTTTTTGTAATATTATTTTTTGAGCTGGGAACAGATCTCTCTCCTAAAAAGAGCAAATGTTGACCTAAAGGTCAGGATTGCCCCCCACTGTCATGTTCTGTGTGAAAGTGGTCCAAGTCAAAGATAAGAAAACTATTTAAAAATCTCATTTTTTGTGTGTAGGTGAAACTTAACGAACAATAATAACTTCAAAGACCAGTAAGGAGCCATATACTTTAAAGTCTTATTAGTGGAGACATAAAATCCTCCTGGTGCCTTGAGCTGTAAACTGAGCCTCCCCAATGCCTCCTTAAGGGCTGCTTGGATTATAAAAAACATCATTGCCATATGTTAAGCCATGTCAACTATATTAGAAAAGCCTTGTTAACATGGGAAGAAAGAAAGAGCCCAGCTCCTACTCACTTACCTCCAAAATCTTAATCATCAATCAGTTAACTTGCTGGTTAAAAAAAGAGGTGTTTCTGCCTACTGTATGCACAGTATGTAACGTATAAGGAACATGCATGTATATGATATGTAGGTGTATACAGAGGCAGAAAAAATATATACACAAAGGGCATTATCTTAGGGGGTTCTGAGTGCCCCTATTTCCCACTGATTATAATGGAAGTTGGGTGCCCTCACAGGATTGGGACCATACATTTATTATGTGAAGGATTGTTACCAGATTTATATGAAGACAACAAGATAGCACCCCAATTCACATGTGAAGGAGTGGACTCAAGACACAAGTGGGTGAATGACAATATAAATACATCAAGAGTTTCTGGTGCCTGGCATAACAAACTACATGAATGATGCATCTTGTAAATCAAATTGTGTGTGCGTGTGCATGTAAAAGGCCTATTAAATCCTTTTATTAAATTAATCTAATTAAATGCACAACATTTCCTTAAGTTCACAATACTCCCCCAAATTTCCTGTAGCGTTCTGGCAAAGGATCTATCCCACGCTTCTAGCGACTCTGTCCCACTTTGAGTGTTGCCACCCTTTTGGTATAGGCCTCTTCCCTCGTGGCATTCTCCCTTCTTCTTTGCATCTTGCTAGCCCACTACTTCTGTGATGACAGGTTTCATAATCACTTGAAAGCCCTGCCCATGTCACTGGACTACTTTACTGGTTCTGAGACATGTTGGCAAAACTGGATGAGCACACCCATACTCACACTTTGGATTAGAGCTTCTGACCCATTGCTTGGCGTGGCAGTGACTTGTGTTAGTCCAGATCATGTTTGCCGTGTGCACCAGGCTTAAGCACAATTCAGTACCCTGCTTTTCCAACTGTGTTAATGCTAAGTTCCTTTATTTTTAGTATGGATAGGGCTAAATGCAGCTATTTCATCTTTAAATTAATGATTAGAGAAATGAGGACATGCTAGATTGTACCTTTAAGTATTTACCTGTGTAGGGTTGGTCCAGACATGTGCTGTCCCAAAGGGAGCCCTGCCACCAAATGCACATCATGAGCCTAATCCTTCCCCAAGGATGGTGCAACTTGTTCCCTTTGTTGCCAGCCAGCTCCCTGGGTCAGTATGGTAGGGGTGCTGGTTTATAACTCCACCTCCCCACATTTCCTTGTCATCTTTATGGTGGTATGCATCCATACAGAGCCTATGAATAAGGGTATGATTCTGTCACAGAAGTCACAGATTCTGGGACTCTCTGGAACTTCTTCTGGGACAGAGCTGGAGCAACTGTCAGACCTGGGCTGCCAGAGCAGCGACCCCAAGGCTGGAGCAGCAGCTAGGGTTGCGTCAGCCACTACCGCAGGAGCAGCGTTGGGACTGGAACAACTGCTGGAGGTCAGCCCCCAGCAGTGCTCTGATTGTTACTCCCGCTCCCCAGGGTATTTTTAGTAAAAGTCAGAGACAAGTTGTGGGCTTCTGGAAATCTTTGTTTATTGCCCGCGACCTGTCGGTCCTTGCGACCTATTCCTGACTTTTACTAAAAATATCCTTGACAGAATCTTAATCTTAACTATGACTGAGCAATCTCTAGACTCCACCAATAGCTAGCACTGTTATTTTGCCTGGCCCTTGCATGGGAGTACAAGATGGGCAGGGCTTATAGAGGCTTTGTTCTTCCTAAATTAGCTTTCTTAGCAATCAATGTTTGTGTGACTACTAGGGATGGGCAGAAAATGGTTTTCTAATCCTGGAAAATTTTCAAGATTTTGAAATATTTTCCCATCCCAAATTGGGATAATAAGAAGAAATCTCTAACTTTTCAAGACCCGACAACCAGAAAAAAAAGAATTTGGGTCAATCTAAATGCTTTATTTCAATAATTTTGAAACATTTGGTTTCAATTTTGACCTTTTTTATTATAATTAGCTTATACTTCAAAACAAAATCTTTTTGACTAGAAAAATTGATTTTTTTTTTTCATTTTGAAAATGTCAAAGCTTTTCAAACGTTTTTTTTTAAAAAGCAGTTTGGCAAAACCTAGTCTTTCCCACAAGAAGTTTCATTTTCAATTAATTGACACTTTCCAATGAAAAATATTTTGTCAAAAGATTCCAGACCAGCTGTAATGGCTGAAGATAAATGCTAATTAAACCCTTACAAGGCCAACAGTTTCATTTTGCTGGGATAGTCTTCTCTAGGATGAAAATGGATGGCTGGCAATTTCACCACCAGTTTCCATGTATTTTTCCCCAAACAAGAGCACCATTAAAATTACATCTTTTTTAAGCTAAATTTGAAGCAATTTTCCTCTTCCCTCTCTTTCTATGATTCAGCCCAAAGAACAAAAATTAAAAACTGAAAAGCTGGGATAGGTATAAAAGCGCATTATAGAAACTAATAGTTGACCGGCAACTTGAATTTTAAAGTTGACAGTTTGTATTATTTGGTATTTTAAAAATAATGAGATCACAATTCCCTACTCTGACATCACAACCATGAATGAAAGGTGTAAACTATAGATTCGAATTATTTTACAGTAGCTGGCCATGAATTACAAAGTAAATTAGATAGAATTAGGGCTATTGTGACAATCTGAGGGATTTGTCTATGTACAATTTATGAATTCTACTTGATATTATCAAGTTGTTAGTATGAAATTGCTGTATCATGGAATGCTTTGATGTGGATGTGGAATCCACCATTTGCTGACAGGGCTGTAGCTTGTTTCTCCCAGACTAGATACAGTGGTGGGTCATTAGACCTTTAAACAGTCATTTTTTCAGGTGGAAAGGCTAGGGAAACCAGTTCAACCAAGTTTCTCTGCAGGGGACTAGTGAAATAGAAAGAAGAAAATTCCCAGCAGCAGAATAAGGAACCAGGTATTGTTGGTGAGACATAAACTCAAGAGATTCACTGAGACAGAACACTTTGGGGAGGATTTTTGTAGCAGGAGGGTCTGGTTTAACTGTGGGACTGACCAAGGGCAGAGTAAGTAGCTGACCTAGAGAGGTACTGTGATTCTGAAGAGAAACCACAAACCAACTGCAAGAGAAGGATCCTATCCTATACTCAAGAACTATCTGGAGTGGGGAGGAACCTGAAGCAGGGAAATGCCTATAGGTGAGTTTATTGTTTTGTATACATCTGTGTATTTCTTGTGCTACCTAAGTAAACAGTAATGATGTTTTGCAAAGTTTGTCTGTTTGTTTTCACGGTTGGGATTCTGGGAAACATGCAAGAGCTGCTGGAGAGGGTTGGGAAGATGGCAGTAGTTTCATGTCCTAGGCAATTGGACTGCAGGGTCCCCACTGCCAAGAGGGGTGTCAAACATTAGGTCTGCACCCGGAGTAGTGGTCCAAGGGACAGTGTCTATATTCTGCCCAGTACCAGCAAATATGTGGGATTCAGCATTAGGAACCTCTTTCAGCAGTTTGGCAACTGTCCAGCAGGGGCAGCTCAACCAAATCTGTTACATCTCTATAGGCAGATGAGGTGGTATGAGTGCATATGCAATGAATGTCAAGTATCAGGGGGTAGCCATGTTAGTCTGTATCTACAAAAACAACAAGGAGTCTGGTGGCACTGTTAGTCTTTAAGGTGCCACCAGACTCCTTGTTGTTTATGCAATGAATGTAGGTTGTTGGCACAGAGACAGCTGTTAGAGTAATTAACATGTAATATATAAGAGCAACAGCTCACCCATGGCTCCCTCTTGTCTCCTGTTGTATTTTTGGGTGGGGGGTTGGTTTTCAGGGGTACTATTAAGTTCTGATTACACCCTCTGCTTTTAGTGCCTTGTCGTATATTTACTATCTTTAAAAAACTGATCATAGGAATGTACAGCCTGCCCTGTCTGTCTTGGAATACACTCAGGATCTCTTCAACTGCAGACCCTTTATTCAGGGTGTAGTAGGAGATGTCAGTTGTGTGCAAACATGCCCACAGGGCTGTGGCTTCTGGGCTGCAACAAAGCACCATTGTCCAAAGGACACAACATGCAGCTAGGCAGGCCTGATCCAACTCCTGTTGAAAGACTCCCCTTTCCTCAGTGGGTATTCAATCAGGTCCAATGTAAGGCAGCAGACAAGCAAGGTACATAAGCTAGAAGGCATTGAAAGAGTTAGGGCTAGATTCACACAGCTGACCTAGGCATCCAATGCCCAGAGGTCCAATGCCTAAATGCTGCTTGGTGCCTTAGCTCATGCCTGCTGCCCAGTGGAATTCACAGTCCGAGTTCAGTGTGTAGGCTCCCCATGTCTTGTGTGGGTAGAGTTAAGCATCTGAGAAAGGGATTCACAGAAACCAGCAAGCTGAGCAGGGACTCACCTAAAGCAGCCGGGGGTAAAATGCAGAGGAAAGGGGTGGGACTTAAGGCCCAGATCCACAAAGGGCTTGAAGCACCTGACTCGATGGGCTGAGGGAAGCACCTGTCTCTGCTGGGGATTCTTGGCTGAGAGCCATCTCCTGGAGGTAGGCAGCTAGGTCAGGTCAGCCCTGTTCTGTCCTGTGAAAAAGCAAAGAGACTCTATAGCCTACTGGTCAGGGAACAAGTCCCTGCCCCAATGAATAGCTAATTTTACAAAGTGGAACAGGTTCAACAGGAGAGATTGAGAGAGCTCTACCCCATAAAACCCACTAGCCTGGTGGGGTTAGGGCACTCACCGGGGATGTGGGAACCATGAATTCAAGTCCCAGCTCCAATGGAGAGAATTCAAATCTAGATCTTCCACATCTCAGGGGAGTGTCTTCTCTGCTAGGCTTTTGGGTATCCTGGGGAACATGCATACCTAGCCAGTCCCCCAAATTCCTGACCTACTTGTTCCCAGCTGTCTTCTGTGAAGGTTGGGTGTGCTGTGAGCATGCCTACTAGATTTGGCCCTGCAGGCGAGATTAATAGAGGAGGACATGGTTTAAGAATCCCACTGGGCCTTAGGCATGAGCTAAGGCACCAAGCAGTTGGTGTCAGAACTCAGACAGCTTTGCACATGCCCACCAGCAGAAATTTTGGCACCTACAGGATTAGGTGGCAGCTGAGTGGTGGTTTCGTGAATATCAGTGGTGCCTAAATGTTAACCTTAGGTGCCTTAAGAATACTGCTGGCTGTCACCTCCTGGTTATCGCTACAAAAGTACTATCCTCTGTTATGACCTCACTTCTTTTCTGTGCTTCTGGCTGTACATCAACACAACACTAGGAACAGGATGTGGGGCAGAAAAATAATATGGGGAGGGATGCGGCATGTGGCATGATAGGGATATTGGCAGATACAGAAGGGGATGGCAAGGAAACAGCATTTGTAATATGGTAGTGATTAACTTTAAGTACAGGGAGTGCTTACTATCCAAAAGGAGTCCAGACTGCTATCATCAAATGTGATACCAAAAGGATATTACTGTCTCAAACATGCCAGGCTTCCTCTGAAAACTCAAGGTTGCTTCCACCCAGATCTCTGGCCCTCAGAAATGTAGAAATTCCTCTTCTTCCCTAGAATGCACTTTCTTTGGCCTACATCAGGGGTAGGCAACTTATGGCACGCATGCCGAAGGCGGCACGTGAGCTGATTTTCAGTGGCACTCACACTGCCTGGGTCCTGGCCACCGGTCTGGGGGGCTCTGCATTTTAATTTAATTTTAAATGAAGCTTCTTAAACACTTTAAAAACCTTATTTACTTTATATACAACAATAGTTTAGTTATATATTATAGACTTATAGAAAGAGACCTTCTAAAAATGTTAAAATGTATTACTGGCACGCAAAACCTTAAAATAGAGTGAATAAATGAAGACTCGGCACACCACTTCTGAAAGGTTGCCGACCCCTGGCATACATTCAACAAGGTAACAATAGGATTATTCCGGTGCTTAAAGTTGGGAATATGCTTAAGTACCTTGCAAAATCTGGACCTTTGTAATTACCTTTGCCCGACTGATCTCTATGAAGACCTTCTACTAGGTAGAAGGGCTTTTAGTTCTGGGATGCTTAAGCAGTGGTAACCTTAAGCAATGGTGCAACCACACATGAAAATCTGGATGGTGAGGAGTCTTGCCCACATACTCAGGGTTTAGCTGATCGCCATATTTGGGGTCGGGAAGGAATTTTCCTCCAGGGCAGATTGGCAGAAGCCTTGGGGGTTTTTCGCCTTCCTTTGCAGCGTGGGACACGGGTCACTTGCTGGAAGATTCTCTGCACCTTGAAGTCTTTAAACCATGATTTGAGGACTTCAATGGCTCAGACATAGGTCTGATACAGGAGTGGGTGGGTGAGATTCTGTGGCCTGCGTTGTGCAGGAGGTCAGACTAGATGATCATAATGGTCCCTTCTGACCTTAAAGTCTATGATTCTATGATCTATGACAGGGAAGAAACCATGAGAGAGAACATATTAGCCCCGCAGGGGCTTAGTAGGGGATATCAACAGGATAATACAAATTTGGCAAGGAAGGAGAAAATGTCCCTGTCACCCCACAGTGTTTGCACCAATTATCCCAAGGTGATCATTGGGCATCTGAACACTGCTAGGTGCACCTTCAGCTGGATTTTTAGGTCTTTATATATATCCCTTGGTTTACCTCTCTCCTGTTCCTAAGGAAGTGACACATCCTCCCAGTTTGTAAATGGATTTTAAAATTCTGTCTTTTAACTCTTGATTTTTTCAAATGTTCCTAGCATAGTGACAGTTTTCTATGATTTGGGGGATGAACTATTTGAAAAGACATTTCAAACTGTGCAGTAATACTAATTATTCATGTGATCGTTGGATAAGGTTTTTTGGGTCCATTTTATGATAGTGGGTGTTGTGCATTGAAAAATCATGGCAAATCCACTTGGATTTCCTTCACAGCTGCTTAGAATTACTGGTGTGAATGTGACAGGGAAGAGTGACTACAAAGTCCATTACATAATCAATAAATCAGGCTCTTTTCTTCTCCTCTCCTTCAATCTGCAATTCATCATTATTATTAAATCCAGGGTCCAGGCGGATAGCCAGAGAGAATGCTCTGTTTTATTTGAAAGAGGAGAGGGAAAGGTTAAGTATCCTAAAGTTTCTTAGGCCTGATTACCTCCTGCTGTGTCTGTCACCCTCCCTCTGAGACATTCAGTTCCCTGCAGTTTCGTCAGGCACTGTTCCTGTTTATAAAAGTTATCTAGAGCAAGCAGCAACCACCCCCATGTGACTTAGGTGACAGCAGTGCACAACAAATATCTAAGCAGATTAGCACTGGGTAGGAATCCTGGTGGGAAATACTCCTCATCACCACATAAGGAAAAAGGAAGAAATGAACAGAGAGTGGAATTTTCTCCCACGTCACCGCCGTCTCTTCGGAAGTTCTGACACACGCTCCACCACCTCCTTGCTGCTGCTGCTCATTTTTATTTTGTTTACAGCTATTCTCCTCCTCATCGAAAACTAGCCTTTTTCCTTTTCACCTCCTCACTCTACAAGAGTGTTTCAGGATGGCAATGTGGACACTACCGGTGCAAATACAGAAGTGTATTGAATATATAAAACGCTTTTTCTTTCTGTGAATTGAATCATGCTCATACAAATGTTCATGACAAATGAAGGGGCTAGAGAATTTTATCAAGGTCAATTTCAATTTAGACCACAGTGAATGTTCACAAATATATTTTTCCAGATCTGATACTTACCTAACTCATTACTGTGTGTGTAAAGTGCCTCCAGATCACCAATTAAATGCAAAGTATAACTAGTGTATTCCTTATGTCTGATGCCCATATTCTCTGTGAATTGGGCACAGAGGAAGGCCTGTAATACATACTCACCAGTATACACAAGCATAGGCCAATTGTTTTTAGATAAATGTATGTTAAACTCTCAATTGTCATTTTGCTATCTAAGGACCTAATCCAAAACCCACTGAAATTAGTGGAAAAACTGCCACTGACATACCTAAGGCTTCTGTTTTGAGGGGTTGATTAATTTCATTTTTCTGGATATATTTTTAGCAATTTGAGTTTTCGATAGATATCCAAACCTTGAACGCAGGGAGTGGGATTGGTACTTTCTCTTTGTATATATTATAATGAGTAATGTATATACATTACTTATTACAGTAGTATATACTGTAATGTATAATCTGCTTGGAACGTTTCCTAGT